AAACACAGACAAAACAAAGTCTTCTTATTATAAGTGAGAAGTCCACAACAAAATAGAGGTCACCTAAATCTTGATCCAGTTATATAGATAATCCAACATACTATGACATCAAGCAGTAGCTAGTGATGTACATGGTCGTTTACATTAGCTGCCGGGGCAGGATAGCTCCCTCCGGGCGATGCCCTGATGCTCCGGCGGTGGCTGCTGTCTAGGCCGCCCAACCTTTCCGTCACTGCCGATTACGATTTTCAACACATTCAAATGTCTAAAACACATACTTTAAGAAGTCTAAAAACAAAAGGAGAAATCAAGAGTAAAAAGAAGAAGGAAGATATGCAACACCTGGAACTGAAGAGAAGTCTAAGAAGATTCTTGTTGCTTCACCATATCCACACCTCGAATTCATGCACAGTGCAAAGATAACCAGAATTAACAGAGCACATGTAGCAGCATTCTTGTAGACAGACATCTTTATTTAACTAAACTTGTTCCGCTTTGCCTCCTAATATGATTCTTTTATAGCAAGTCCAGTCCCAGATGAGGACAGATGGAATCAGCTTATCCATAAATTCTGCACAAAATTGCACCGGTTGGACCCTAAGGGAATGGTCTTTGAATATTATATTATCGCTAGTTTTGACTTTGTTACAAAAATAGACTTCTTCTTCGCCAAAACATCGTAGTCCTTCAATAGTGGAAGCTTTAAATGCTTCTTTGGCAGAGAAAATATAAGTTAATGATCTATTATTGTTAAAATGTTTTGAATGTTGATAATTTGTACTTAAATTTTTAGTTGATCCTTAGAAAGTATTAAGAAGACAAAGTGAGTTTTCTTGGTTTGGTATTAGACTAAATTGGGATCGTTTGTGTTGGTATTTAGGGGTTTTGTTTCGAATTTGAGATCATTTGGAGTAAATTTAGGATGGTTTGATTGAAATTTTAATTTTAATTTTGAAGAACACTTTGTTGAATAACACAAAAAAATTATGCCGATCGGATAGAGTTTGATGAACAATTTAATAGATAGGTCAATTGAAAATACCACAAAGTTATGTCAATCTGATAAAACTTGGTAAACAATTAAACAAGCACAAAATCATGCCAACTGGGGAGAGTTTATGAGCAATCTAACAAATAGCTTGGTTGAATGCAGTTAACATAAAATCACGACAATATGGTAGAGTTTGATGAACAAATAAATAATTATAAAGTTATGTCAACTAGCTAGGTAGAGTTTGTAAACAATTAACAATATAAATAAAATAAATATAGCATAAATCTACCAATTCGGTAGTGAACCGGGGTCATTTTCTAAATACTTAAAAAAGGGGGCAATATTTAAAGACCAACCCCTAATATAATTACGGGAGAAATTAAAAAATAGTCAGATTTACAAGTGG